GCATCCGACACTGGATCCAAGATCCCGTTATCAGAAAAAAATCAGTCTTAACATTCATTTTTTTCTGGTAGACCCATCTTTACATTGCGTATGAGAAACTCTATAAGTAACTTTACCAAGTTTTTGCCAATGGTCTATAAGAAAGGGTTAAGAGTATAAGACTAATCTTAGGACTAAATTTTTCTGACAACATACCCCAGTGCTGGAATCGGCGCTCGTTTCGGCCCTGGATCCGGCGCTTGTTTCGGCGCTGGATCCGGCACTGGATCCGGTGCTGGATCCGGCACTGGAGCCGGTACTGGATCCGCTGCTGGATCCGGCGTCGGATCCGGTGCTGAATCACCGTCTCGCTGCGTCGATCACGAGAATATAACATGAGATGGCTTTTAATGCGTACGTGCGCAGCGACGCGTCTGCATCCCCGACCGTGACTAGCGGGGAACCTCGGCATTATCGAGTATAACCTCGGATGAACTCTGGCATCGATTGCACCGCATTATCCCGTCAATTGTACACGACGCCGGAGCGAGCATTTGAGTGCGCTTTGAAGTGCAAATCTTAAGTGAAATTTATTAGAGCTTATGGACGTATCCGGATCGAAACTGTCCATTATTATGCCAGATGAGAATAGATATTATTCTTAATGAATTGTATTCGTATTACGAACATAGTAGTAATGTGCGGCTTATCGTCGTGGGGAGCATGTGCCTGAAATTGTGACTTACTTGGATCTGTAATGGATACACAAATTGATGCATGTTAAGAGATATGTCCGTAGCATATATCTTGTTATGTCTCGACTCTGTCATTTTACTAAAAGACACAAGCCTGTTATATGGGTCACTTGGCAAATCTTTACTCACCCACAATCCGAGTCAATAGGGTAACATATTAGATATGCTCAACCGAGTAGATATGCTCAGGGAAATTCACATAACATTACAAATGCGTATAAATGTGTGCTATCGTGTTATAAATTGTGTGCGAAGTTCACTTATTGGTGAACGTTATTAGTGAACAAGAATCGAGCGTTATTCACGTTTACGATGGTCTAGTGCTAATTATGAGTAAGAAGAATATTGCCAAAATATTGACTGGGTTTTAGCATGATACCAGTAGACTAACAGCATAGTATCATACAACAGGCTAGTGTGCTACAATATAAGCCATCTCGTATATTGCAATAGGCAATCCATTAGCATGAAGTAACAAGTTTAGTAGCATGATATCACAAATGTATTATGATATAAGGAGTAAGACAATAAGAGATCACAGCCTTATTCTATGACGATTGCCTTACTATCTTACTCCTGATAATGTAAACAAGTCTAGCAGCATGATATTACACGTGTATATTAGGCCTATCGCTGCAACAGCGGGTTTTGTGGCATGGCTATTAACAGTGCAGTAGTAAGCTAGTAGCATGTGACAGAACGCTGTGTCGCGCCGCATCGTAAACACGACAACACGATATTGCATCGCTGAATCAAAGTAATGTACCGTCCCTCGAAACATTGGAAATACGATTACTGCGCTCGCTACAGAGGCCACCCGCCTCCTCTGCCTCGCAGTTTCGCACTTATGTTTTATTGGCGTGATTGCCTTTAGCGTCAATAATGCCAATCGCTTCGTCCGTTATTGCTCGACCATAATGTTCTATTTGGTCGATGTATTAAGTGCCGTCGGTGGCATTTACCTAATTAATATTCCTCAGTAGTGCACACAACCTTACATTATTGCACATCCGGCCGTAGCTGGTGGTGACTTCAAGAGGGCCGAAAGCAGAGTAGCGACCTTCCGCCATGTTCCTCAGGTTATGCTGTGCGCCAGATATGTGCGTGCGTGCGATAGGTTCAGCAGATATGGTAAAATTCTTCATCGATAGCATGACCTTCCATATTCATAACGATCCAAGCCTCTCCGAAGCTTTATTGATAAAATAATGTAACTGTTTCCAGAGCAGATAATACGAAGTTGTGTTATCCTCTGTTAATCGTAGTATATTCCAGTACTAAGCATGCGCTTGGCTTATTATTATTATTTATTCCTATAATTATTAGGATTACTAGTAATTGTTATAATTATTTTTATTATTATTATTATTATTATTGCTATTGTTGTTATTTTATTGTCAGAAGTTATTTCGACGCCGGGTGGGTTCGATGGTAACTATACTTATATTATAACACTGGAGTCTGGAGGCACTTAACTGTAAGAGGCACTGCGCTCATGCACTGTTAATTTTGAAGGGCATGATATGTATTTCATGAGTTGCTATTCCGTACAACTGACCACCTTCATCCCTACGCGACCGTACACTCACACTTGTTATATACGAGACAATATTTATAAACATAAGCACGTGTCTATAATAAATTGCTACCACTACCAATGCCATTGGTGCTGCTGTTGCTGTGGCGGCGGCTGCTGCTGTCGCTGTTACTGCTACTGCTGCTACACTGTTTTAGTAATAAGTTTAGAGATAGCGTAGCAGTTAGCAGTTTACATTTCATCGTGCAGTTTTTTGTGTAACCATATTTTAACGTTTCATGTATACTTAGCTATTTATAAACATTTTTAAACGTGCCACCGTTGCGGTAATGTAGTCGTATAATTATTTATTTGACAACTGTTATGCTTATATTTTGCATTATGGTATTAACGTTTTCGTGCATAACTTTTATTTATTCGATGTTTCTTTCCGTTTTAGTCGAGAGTTTACCAAATTCGACCTTAGCAGCCCTCAAAAATCATCCGTTTACAAATCAGGCACTATTCGAATACCTTCATCTATGTACGGCCGACCAGGTACACGCATTATTTATATATATATTTGTTTTCTTTGCATGTTCTATGTTGTATTTAGTGCATTATATGGCATCCTGATCACGACTGCATGGTGGAATGGCATTTTTCATATGATTGTGTAGCACACATCTGTCGCACGGAAGTTTAGTGCGTGTGTGTATATGTGTGTTATTAGAATGTGTGTTTGTCTGACTGGAAATATACGGCGTGTGCATTACTTATTAGTGTTAAAGAAACTATGGTAGCATATACAAGAATAACCCCCGCGCACATCGTACAGCAGAAAACATATTTATATATAGCGCGTCTGGGAATTTTACGGGAGCCAGTTGGGTTTCGACTAAGTAGCAACGGAACGCCGTAGCAAAATCACACGAGTAGGTGAAATTAACAGCAACCTAACAGGGAACCGATGCTGATGCAGATTTCACGGGATATCTCTTACTGAGATCTGGCAGCTAATTATAGCACTCGACATATGCTGGATTCAGTATAATTATTTACTGTCAATAATGAGATAATCTTCATCACTTTCTCTTTCTTTCTTTCTCTCTCTCCCCCTCTCTCTCTCTCTCTCTCTCTCTCTACTCTCTCTCTCTCTCTCTCTCTCTCTCTCTCTCTCTCTCTCTCTCTCTCTCT